TTCATGGGGAGGCCCACTGCGGCTGGGGACAGCTGAGCGGGTGGGGGTGGGGGCCTCCAGGTGGCCAGTGAGCTCCTAGGGGACGGGACAAGTTCGGCCAAAGGAGCTGCCCGGAACAGGACGTTGGAGGGGTCAGCGGTGGGCGCCGGGCACCAGTCCTCTCGGACCAAGCCCTGCCCCGGGGACGGCAGACTTCAAGGGCGTGGCCACCTGGTGCACTGTACTGCGCTCACACGTGACCGCGGGGTACTCTGGGGGCACCCCAGAACCCAGGGAGCCCAAGGGTGCCCCCCAACGGGGAAGCGAACCAGGGAGGACAGCGCCACCACCGTGCCGAGTGGGGCGAAGGCGGGGTCCCCTGGACATGCGTGGCGAGCCAAGGACCTGCGGAACCCCGGGCTCGGATGTCCTGAGGCGCCCAGACTGACTCCTGCCTGGGAGGGGTGGGAGAGACCTGGGGTCCCTGCCGGCAACCCCAGAACCCACAGGGGTGCTGCAGAGACCAGCCCTCCGCAGCTAAACAGCCCTCAAGTGACAGTGGACGAAGGGACAGTGGCCCCCGCCTGCCAGGTGTCTGGAGGAAGACCGGGCACACGGGGACACGGCAGGACAAGCAAGAGCCAGGGAGCCTGGCCAGCAGGTGAGCACGGTGGAAGCCAGGGCACAGGGCGCCGCTGCATGCGCCCAACTGTCCCCCCGCCCCGTGATTGTGCTTAGTGGGGGGCTGAGCTGCCTCTCCTGCAGGGCAGAGCTGCAGGTGTCCCGGGGAGACCTGCAGGCGGTCCCCACACTCCGTGCACCCCAGTCTGCTCCTTGGGCTTTTATTCTGATTCTAAATAACCCTGGGGGGGCCCCAGCTCTGGGACCCGGTGTCGTGTGGGGTGGCTGTGGGAGCCGGGCGATGCTCCGCCTCGACGGCGGGTCTCACCCAGGACCACAGGCAAGTCTGGGATGAGGAGCCGAGGCGGCCGGGCGTGAGATGCCCCAGCTGCTGCGAGCCAGATGCTGAGCTGGGGGTGGCACCATGCAGGCTCCCCAATGTCCAGCCAGGGCCAATGTCAAGGTTATGCTACCACCCCACCCCACACACATACACATTCTGTTTGATCATTTTTTATTCTGTTTCGTTCTGAGTAAAAACAAAGGTTTCTGGGACGGGCTGCACCTCCCGGTGGGCTCACGGGCCTCGAGGGGTCCACAAGAGGCCTCCTGCCTTTCCCACTGGGCTGCCCGCACTGGGCAGCCTCTGCTCGGACACCAGCATGGCAGTGACCCGGGCTGCCCATCCACCAAGGGGACCCAAAGGATTTAATATGGAACCCAGAGGCTGTAAGTCCCGCTGCCCCGCTCCACGCTCACCCCGACTCTCCTGCAAAGCTCTGACCTCCGCCCTATTCCCTCAGCAGCGGCACCACAGCTCAAAGCTGCAACCCTGGCCCTGCAACTCTCGGGCCCTAGCCCAGCCTGGTCTGGCCGTGGCCATGGCTGTCCAGGGCTTGTGGCGCCCGCTCTGGGCAGAGACCCTCAGAGGCCTCCGTAGCGGCTCCAGCCCTCAGCCAGGCTGGCCACCACCCGGCCTCTGCCGCTGCCTCCCTGTGTCCCGCTTCTCTCTCACCTTTGAGGGAAACCTGGTGTTGGGCCCCAGCCTGTGGGGCGGCTGCAGCCGCAAGCATGCAGGGGGGAACCCCACCAGCTCTGACAGCTGCCCCCGCTCTGCCGGGTATCATCGTCCTCCACTGGGCAGGACTGAGGGCCCGTCTGACCCTGGTTGTTCTTCTCCAGCTACGGCGGGCACAGCGCTCTCCCGTCCCGCCGCGCCTCCGGTAACTGCGCAGGGCACAGCCACAGCCCCCCACCCCCATCAGGCATGGAAGCGCTGCACCCTCACGGCCACCTGGTACCTGGTACCACCTGTTCACGTTCAGGCGCACAAGGTTCAAGTCCAACGGCCCCCCCGCTTCCGGGCAGCCAGAGCGGCCCCCTCAGCCGCCTGCACTGCAGCTGCCCTAGCGCCCCCCCGCCGCGTGCACCTTCTGGTGGCGGACGAGGTGGGAGCTCAGGCTGTAGGCCTTCCCACACGCCCTGCACGCGTAGGGCCTTTCTCCAGTGTGAACTTTCTGGTGCCGAACGAGATGGGAGGTCCTGATGAAATCCTTGCCACACTTGCTGCACACGAAAGGCCTCTCGCCCGTGTGAACTCGCTGGTGTGCGATGAAGTCGGAGCTCCGACTGAAGAACTTCCCGCATTCGGTGCACTCAAAAGGCCTGGCCTCGGTGTGGATGCGCTGGTGCTTGATCAGGGTGTACCTGTGGCCAAAGCATTTGCCGCAGTCGCCGCACACGTACGGGCTCTCCCCCGTGTGGATGCTCTCGTGCTGCACGAGCGTGGATTTGTGCCTGAACACCTTCCCACACTCGCCGCACTTAAAAGGCCGCGCGCCATTGTGAACTCTCTGGTGGACGATCAGGTTGGAGTGATGGCTGAAAACCTTCCCACAGTCGTCGCACCTGTAAGGCGTTTCTCCAGTGTGGACCCTCCTGTGCTGGGTCAGGTTGTCCTTGCGGCTGAAGGCCTTGCCGCACTCGCCGCACGCGTAGGGCCGCTCCCCGGTGTGGATCCGCTGGTGCTGGACCAGCGTGGCTTTGCGGCTGAA